GTATCTGGGACCCCCTGTTCTCTACCTCTTGTCTGCTGGAATGTTGTCCGAGGTGAATTCCTCCCTCCCGTGTCCGGCTCCTAGGCCGGGGTGGCCGGAACAGCTGGGAATGGCCCTGCGGCTCTCTCATCCGACAGGCGGGCTTGGGCTTCCTTGCAGCATGGCAGTCTCGGGCCCGTCTGGCTTCTGGTGTGGCCGGTTTCCTGTTGAGTGAGTGACACGAGAGATAGGAGAGGAGGCTGCACGCCTCTGCCCGGGCCCGGAGCGGGCACAGTGTTGCTTGGCCGTGTTCTATTGCTCAGTCACAGCAGTAGTCAGGACCTGCTTGGACCCCGGGGGAGGGACTTAGGAGGCCCTGCCTCTCGGCAGGAGGTATGTCGGCCCCAGGGGCCTCGCCTGTCCGTCTCCACAGCCCTCCCCTTCCCTGAAGGCCCAAGCTGGCTCCTGCCCGGCCTCTACACCGGCTGTGCCTCTGCCGGGAACCCTCTTTCCCCTTGTCACACCCTGGCTCCAGCTCACCTGTGAAGTGTGCCCACGCATCCTATCTTCACCCAGGCTTTTATATAAGAGCCCACGTTCTTGTCCCGCTGTAGCCTGCAGCTGTTTGATTCCATTCACACTTGGGAAGTGACATGTCCGGGCCACCCGTTTGCTCACTCACGATACTCCACGCCCGCCCTGCACCCCCACCCCCCAGGCTGGAGTACCAGCCTCGTCGGGGCGGGAGCCTTTCCCGTCTCGCCCACCCCGTCTCCTCCCGTCCCTGGCACGGGGCGCAGGGGCTGGTTCAGGAAACTTGGCTGATGAGCGAAGGGGAACAAAATGGCCAGCCGTCACGTCCACCCGTCCTCGTGGGCCTTCCCCGTGTGGCCGAAACTGCAGGCAGGATGGGGGGGAATGAGTGCCGGGGCCGACGACCCTTCTCCCCGGGTGGGACTGGGCCCTGAGCCGGTTCTCTGTTCCTGGAATTCATTTCACGTGACAAGCCGCCTTCGGTCTCCAGGGCCCTCTCCTCGGCAGCGCCCTCGTGCGAGGTTGATGGCGGCCCAGCCTCTGAGACCCGAGCGGGCAGGGGACCTCCAGGCCGGGCAGCTGGGTGCACCCGGCCCTGCCACCAGCCCTCAGGAGCGGGGACGGGCTGGGCAGGGGCCCCCGAGGGGCACAGGAGGGCAGAAAGCCGTCACCCCATGGTCTTCCCTCCCCTGCTGACTGGGCGTGCCCTCCCCACCTCCTCCTCAGTGGGCGCAGGAGGGAGCAGCTCAGAATCTGCATCAGCCCGGAGTTCCAGGTGTGTAGCCTTGAACCTCAGTTTCCTTACCACTAAAATGGGAATGATTGAAACGGGCCCCGATGGGGCCCTTGCAGTTCCTCGTTTCTGTGAAATCATTGCTGTCGCAGTCCTGCCTCCAGGACACCCAGGCCACCTCAGCGGCAGGTAGGACGGGGCCTTGTGCCACTGCTGGTGCTGGCTCTGCTGGGTGGCCGTGAGCCGCGGTGCAGGCCTCGGGGGCTGGAACCAGCCGCCTTGTCCTCTGAGTCTGGCGCGTGGCACAGAGCCACGCCTGCCATCGGAAGCCTTGTCTTTTCCAATTTTCTGAAGGTCCTGTCCTGCTGCCTGAGAAACTGGGGTGCAGGGGAAGCGGGGAGGGCTTCTGATTGGTACCCAGGGGCTGTTTGGGGGGTCGCAGCTCCGAGCTCCTGAGGTGACCCGAGCCACTCACTGCTGGGGACCATGTGACAACAGGACAGCCCCCGGCTGAGGCCTGTGCTTCTCCTGCTCCCTGGTGTCCAGGGAAGAGCTGGCATCCTCGTTTTGAGGTCCCCAAACTCAGCTGGTGCAGGGAGGGGGGCCGTTAGTGGAGTCAGGCCTTGCCGAGAGCAGCACCAGCAGCTTTGACGCCTTGTTTTCCTCTCCGAATGGGCCTTTGGCTCTCAGTCAGGAATCTTCCGTGAGCCTGGCGAGTGCTTTTCTGAAGGTCTTACCCCCTGGCTACTCTGTTTCCTCTTGCATTGGTGAACTTGCCCAGCATGAGGAGAGAAGTGCGCACGTCGTTGCCGGGTGCGCTGGCCGCGTCCCTGCAGGTGAGGATGGATCCTCAGCAGGATGATAAATTGCTGGTCTGTGGCATAGCAGCACCGCGCAGTCAGATGACAGGGCTTAAATCATCAAAGAGCAGGGCGACGCTTAGGTAATCAAAACAGCCTGGGGTGCATGGGCTTGGGAGCGGCTGGTGGACGCGGAGCCGGGGCACAGGGAGGCTCCCGAGAGGCTGGACGGGGCTGCTTGTGAGCCTGCTCCAGTGCTCCCCACTCGTGCTGCTGGGGGGACACCACTCAGCTCGGGGCCCTGGGCTGTCCGCTCGGCGCCGGCCTCAGAGAGGTCACTGCTTTGCCGCCTTCCAAGGGCAGTTGTGGCTGCTCTGTTTGGACGCACTCTGCTTTCTGGGGCTTTCTTCTTTTGAGTTTTGCTTTGTCCCGTCCAGAGCCCCCTCCCAGGCAGCCCTGCTAACACGGCTCCCCAGAGTGGGGCTGGCTGCCCAAGAGTGTGGACCTGGGACCACGAGGGGACCCCTGGGGGGCAGAGTGGGCCATGCGAGGCCACTGCCCAGGCCAGAAAACCCCAGGGCGTTAGCCTGCCAAGCTCGGAGTGTGGGGAGGGCAGGGCCTGGGACAGATGGCTCCTTGGAGCAGGTGCATGGCTGTGCCTGGGTGCCAGGGCCACAGACACTGCGGCTGAGAGCTGGGATTGTGACTTGGGCTGTCTGTGAAGAGAGTCCCAGAGGGGCTTGGGTCTGTACACAGGGTGTCCAAGCCCAAGCAGTCAAGGTGACATTCAGCCCACGCTCAGAACCGGCCTGGCTCGCTGGCCAGAGTGGGGCAAGAGGCAGGTACGATGAAGTTCTTGGGCCCTTGGAAACCCAGGTGTGTCGATAATGGAACTAAGGCTGACCCTCAGCATCAGGGCCCTTGAACCTGACCCTGGGGAGGGGGCGTGGGCCCAGGAGCCCCGGAGCCCTTGATTGGAGTCCTTCCGGGTCCTCCGGCTCTCCCTGCCCGCCCGCAGTGTGGTCTGCAGATCAGACGCACTGAATACCTCATAAAATGTCCAGACGCGGCCTGTGCGGGGAGGGTGGGACAGAGCCACATTTGGGAAAGTGTCTTATGACCTAAGGGGCCAGAAGTGGGAGTGAGGATTTAGCAATCACAGCAAGGGTTGGGGAAACGTGCTGCAGGATCCGGAATCAGATTGGGCAATTCCAGTCGGTCAAGGGCTGAGCTGCTGGCGGCGCCTCCCGCAGACCAGGTGAGCCTGGCCTCTCCGACTCCAGGACGCCGGGACCCGGCCCGGTTCAGAGAGCACTCTCGGCAAGTGGCTGCCAACGAGTGAATGAGTTGTGGAGGCCTGGGCTGGGTGGGGATTTCACTTCCCAAGAAGAGAAAAGTGAGGTTCAGGGAGTAGGGGAGGCATCCCGGGTCCTGCTGGGAGCCAGGACCACCGGGCCCAGGCTGGAGCCGGGTTCCCCGCACTCACCCCACCTCCGGGTGCCGACCTTAGGCCCTCAGAGCCCACGGCCTGCGGTCTGCAGGTGTGCACGGTGGGGTCTCGGGCAGGTCCTGTTGCCTGGGGCCCAAGCAGCAAGGCCGGGTCCCCTCTGTCCTCCTGACCCAGCCCAGGAGCAGGACCCTGCCCGGGCAGCTTTGATCACGGCCGTCTGTGGGTTCTCTGGTTGGGTGCCAGGGAGAGAAGCGCAGTCCGCCACGCACTCACCATTCACTGGGGCATGAAATCGCTTCCTTCCTTTACCAGATTATTGCTTAAGTAGAGAATTGACTTGGAGTGGGAGGCAGCGAGGGCATGTACTTTTGAAAATTCACAGAGAAGAGGAAATGTTTGGTTTTGTCTGTTTGCTTCACTACCAGCAGGAAGAAGGCAGCACAGGTTTAGGGGTCCGGATGCCAGAAGGCAGCTCGCTCTTTGGCCATGTTTTCCATAGCACGAACTGGAGTCTTGGTTCGTGCCGTCAGCTGGGCTGTAGTGACAGTGCCCTCCCCTTACCATACAAGGTGGTGAGTCTGTGTCTGTCTGTCTGTCTGTCTGCCTGCACGGACCATCGCTCTGAGTGCCACACCCCCAGTCTGGCAGAGCCGGGCAGGCGAGGAAGGCAGGCGAGCCCCCGTCGTGCCCAGGATCCTGGAGCCGCCTGCAGGGACCAGGGTGCTCTGTGGGCTCCTAGGGCTCCCCTGCCTGGGTTGAGGCAAGTCTGGGTGCTTTAGGGTTCAGCGGGTCCCGCTGTCGTCCAGGTCTTTGCCTTGGCTCGAAGCCTGAGTCACTGGCAGCTCACTCCAAGGGCCGGGGTGGGGAGCTTCTGGCCAGTGCTGCTGGGAGTCCAGCCCAGGACAGAGCCTGCCGGGAGCAGGGGTGTGTGTCCGAGGCTCTGCTTAGGTGTCCACAGCAAACCCTGCGGGAGTCAGAGTCACCGTGGGCCAGTGGAGGGCAGAGACCGGGCTGCACACCTGGGAATCCTGGCACTGGCTCTTTGGGTAGCTCTTTTGCCTCTCAACTGTGGCTTCCCCAGCTACGAAATGGGGCTCACAGGAGAAGCTTCTGCAGAGGGCCATCCTGAGTGTGGAATGCCAGCGAGGTACCCGTTACTCAGCGCTGCCCTGGGGCCTGCGTCCCCGAGGCAGGGACACTGCTTGCACGTTCTCGTGACCATGGGAGGCAGCCCCAGCCCCAGGTTGTCTGGGGGTGGCTCGTCTTCAGGGCACAGGTGTTTGCCCCACAGTTGGTCCATGCTGATGGGGACAAGCCAGTTTCTGCGGGGCAGGGCGGGACCCAGCCACTCTCGCCCTCGTTGTCCCTGGAGACGTGGTGGAGGGAGAGGGGCTCGGCCTGGCAGGGCTGCACAGGGGCGTGGGGGAGAGGTGGGGCCCCTGGGGCCGGGTGAAGGGTGGCCCGCAGGAGGGCCCCGCTCACCCGTGGGCTCGTTCCCCCGCAGGCTGGCGCACCATGTCGGTCAGCGTCCACGAGACCCGCAAGTCGCGGAGCAGCACGGGGTCCATGAACGTCACCCTCTTCCACAAGGCCTCCCACCCTGACTGCGTGCTGGCCCACCTCAACACCCTGCGCAAGCACTGCATGTTCACGGACGTCACGCTCTGGGCGGGCGACCGGGCCTTCCCCTGCCACCGCGCCGTGCTGGCCGCCTCCAGCCGCTACTTCGAGGCCATGTTCAGCCACGGCCTGCGGGAGAGCCGGGACGACACGGTCAACTTCCAGGACAACCTGCACCCCGAGGTGCTGGAGCTGCTGCTGGACTTCGCCTACTCCTCGCGCATCGCCATCAACGAGGAGAACGCCGAGTCGCTGCTGGAGGCGGGCGACATGCTGCAGTTCCACGACGTGCGGGACGCCGCCGCCGAGTTCCTGGAGAAGAACCTCTTCCCCTCCAACTGCCTGGGCATGATGCTGCTGTCGGACGCCCACCAGTGCCGCCGGCTCTACGAGTTCTCCTGGCGCATGTGCCTGGTGCACTTCGAGACGGTGCGGCAGAGCGAGGACTTCAACAGCCTGTCCAAGGACACGCTGCTGGACCTCGTCTCCAGCGACGAGCTGGAGACGGAGGACGAGCGGGTGGTCTTCGAGGCCGTCCTGCAGTGGGTGAAGCACGACCTCGAGGGGCGGAAGGCCCACCTGCCCGAGCTGCTGCGCAGCGTGCGGCTGGCCCTGCTGCCGTCCGACTGCCTGCAGGAGGCCGTCTCCGGCGAGGCCCTGCTCATGGCAGACGAGCGCACCAAGCTCATCGTAGACGAGGCCCTGCGCTGCAAGGCCCGGATCCTGCAGAACGACGGGGTGGTCACCAGCCCCTGCGCCCGGCCGCGCAAGGCGGGCCACACGCTGCTCATCCTGGGGGGCCAGACCTTCATGTGCGACAAGATCTACCAGGTGGACCACAAGGCCAAAGAGATCATCCCCAAGGCTGACCTGCCCAGCCCCCGGAAGGAGTTCAGCGCCTCGGCGATCGGCTGCAAGGTCTACGTGACCGGGGGCAGGGGCTCCGAGAACGGGGTCTCCAAGGACGTGTGGGTGTACGACACCGTGCACGAGGAGTGGTCCAAGGCCGCGCCCATGCTGATCGCCCGCTTTGGCCACGGCTCGGCCGAGCTGGAGAACTGCCTGTACGTGGTGGGCGGGCACACGTCCCTGGCGGGCGTCTTCCCGGCCTCACCCTCCGTCTCCCTGAAGCAAGTGGAGAAGTACGACCCCGGGGCCAACAAGTGGACAATGGCGGCCCCGTTGAGGGACGGCGTGAGCAACGCCGCCGTGGTGAGCGCCAAGCTGAAGCTCTTTGTTTTCGGAGGGACCAGCATCCACAGGGACATGGCGTCCAAAGTGCAGTGCTACGACCCCTCGGAGAACCGGTGGACGGTCAAGGCCGAGTGTCCCCAGCCCTGGCGATACACGGCCGCCGCCGTCCTGGGCAGCCAGATCTTCATCATGGGAGGCGACACAGAATTCACGGCCGCCTCGGCCTACCGCTTCGACTGCGAGACCAACCAGTGGACGCGCATCGGGGACATGACCGCCAAGCGCATGTCCTGCCACGCCCTGGCTTCTGGCAACAAACTCTACGTGGTCGGGGGCTACTTTGGGACCCAGAGGTGCAAGACGCTGGACTGCTACGACCCCACTTCGGACACATGGAGCTGCGTCACCACAGTGCCCTACTCGCTCATCCCCACCGCCTTCGTCAGCACCTGGAAGCACCTGCCCGCGTGAAGAGCACCCGCGGAGCCAGCCAGGTGAGTCCCAGCAGCCCGGGAGCCCTGGACCCGGGGGTGGGGGGCAGGGGGAAGGCACCGCTGCCTGCTTCCACTCTGCACGAGGGTCTTCCAGGGCCGGCCGGGTGGGCAGCAAGTGGCTAGTGTGCTTGGGGTCCACTCCTGGCTTTGCTTTTTTTTTTTTTTTGAGACAGAGTCTCACTCTGTTGCCCCAGCTAGAGTGCCATGCAGTCAGCCTAGCTCACAGCAACCTCAAACTCCTGGGCTCAGGTGATCCTCCTGCCTCAGCCTCTCAAATAGCTGGGACTACAGGCATGCGCCACCACACCCGGCTAATTTTTTCTATATATATATTTTTTAGTTGGCCAATTCATTTCTTTCTATTTTTAGTAGAAACGGGGTCTCGCTCTTGCTCAGGCTCGTTTCGAACTCCTGACCTTGAGCAATCCGCCCGCCTTGGTTTCCCAGAGTGCTAGGATTACCTGGCTTTGCCTCTTCCTTGCAGTTGATCTTGAGCAACTCACACAACCCCTCTGCAAAACGGGGACGATAACTTCAGCTAGACCCGCACCCAGCTAGACCGTGGTTCCCAAGTATCAGGATCATACATCAGGATCTTTGACAGGCGTCTTTTGACAGTGCCGTGTGGCACTTGGGCCAACCTGAAAAGTCTGAGGACGCGATCCCCACACAAGTCTGCTCTCGCTTCGAGCACCAACTACAAGGCAGGAGCCTCCCAAACAGCCCAGGTCCGACAGTCTGCTGGGAGGGCGCACCGCGCACCGAGGGCCGCATGGCCGCTGTTTGGGTTACTGCAGGCAGGATGCGAGCGTCGCTAGCCAGGCGCTCACGCAGGCGCTGGTGTTTGCGGTTTTACCGGGGCTGCGCCGTGTGGACGTGGATGCCTGATGAGCTGACTGTTCACGTGGTCTCCCTGTCTCCAGGTGGACGGATGCAGCATGACACAAACCCCCACCCCAAATCACGTGGTTGTCAGATGTGGCCACCACCCTCCCCAGAGACATAGATCAACCCCCTAGGAGCTGAGGGCCAAGGCCAGACCTCTGTTTGGGGAAGGCCAAACTGTTCACTGCACACATGCCAAAGCCCCGGCCACACCCCAGAGCTAGTAAGCCAGAACCTGTGAGGCGGGGGGCCCTGGCCTCAGTAGTGGTCGCAGCTCCGGGACGTCCCAGTGTGCAGCCAGGTGGACAGCCCAGGGGCGAGGTCGGTGCTGGTGCCACTGCCGTGGATCGGGTCCTGCCTCTCCTGGGACAGCTGCGTGCTCACAGCCCTCTCGGCGCTTGGGTAGGGACTGGCGTGGGTGGCTGGTTGCCAGAGAAGGGTTTGGGGCTTGACTCTCAGGTCCTGGGAGGGGCCAGGATGTGTGCTGCTAGCCCTTGTCCCTTGTCCCAGCTCTGGGATGGTGCGGGCAGCCTGGGATCCTGGGGGCTCTGGGCTGGGATGGGGGGCAGAGTGGGACAAGGGACCCGAGGTGCTGCTCTGCCGCCAGCACAAGAGGAGCCTGTGGAGGAAGTGGCACCGACAGCCGCAGAGCCCGTGCCCCTCCCGCGCCCACCTGCCTCTGCGCCCCAGCGGCACGGAGGGGCCAGCACCGGTCCCGGTGCGCAGGCTCAGCCCCCTGCAGTTCAGGTCACAGGAAGCTGAGCAGAAAAATTAATTTCCTCTATGAACCGGTAGTTGCTGACATGCATGCTGAAAGCAGTCAGTCTTAGCTGGGGCAGCTTCTAAAGGAGGCTGATGTTTCAGCGCTAAATCACATCGCTCCCAGCCTTCGAGTCCCTTAAAGGGATACGCCAGCAGGCGAGGAGGGTTCAAGCAAAGGCGTCAAATCCGTAAATATGGGGTGTTTGGGCTCGTGAAGGGCTGCTTGAATAGGAATGTGGCTTCATTGTCTTTTTAGGCATTTCTGGGTTTGGGTTTTTTTTTTTATCTTTTCACTTCCACTCTGTAAGAAAAATCTGACCTGTCACATTTCTTGGCCCCCTGAGGAGTGAGCTTCCAAGAGGATATTGGGTTTTCCTCATCAGTTCCCTGTTGCTACTCTCCAGGTAACATAGGAGCCCGGCGTGTCAGGGAATGGAGGAATGGAGGCTCCTCCCACTGCAGGCCAGGGACCCTGAGCCGCAGGCCCCAGGCAGCTCCGACCACCCCCACACGGGAGGCTCCCTGCCACCCAAACCAGGCACGGCTCAGGAGGGGCTGGCCAAGCCCCTGGGCAAGAGGCAGGGCTGAGATGTAGCAGGCCTGCTGCTTCCCGTGCTGCAGCGGCACCCCAGTGACCACATGCTCCCCTGAGCCTGGCAGCCATGTGGGGACACCGCGCCCAGGGCCTCGGCCAGCACATTGTCCATCTGCATTGTCTCCTAGCAGTGCCTGGGCCAGAGGTGGCTCCTGTGCCCACCGTGCACCTCCAAGTTTGCCTCCCTGACCCAGGAGCTCAGGGCCAAGTGTGCCGGTGAGAAGTCAGCTCTCGCTGGTCCCCACCGGCGTCACTGACCCGGCCAGCTGTTCCTGTGCCGGCGGGCCCTCTGCATCCATCTGCAAAACTGACTTGAGCTTGGGAGCCGCCGGCCTCTCCTCCACACCCCAGATGACAGCCGCTGCTTGTCCCCAAGCTCTCGTTCCCTGTCCCAGCCATCCATTTGAACTCCTGGTAGGTGCAGGCACCTGCCTTGGATCCTCTGTGGTCGTTCTCTCTTGTCCTCCCAGGGCTCCTTGTCGCAGTGCTGCTGTTACAGAGGCGGCCACTGAGGCTGTGAGAGGAGAGGTAGTTGGCATCAGATGAACGGCTGGTGGGGGCCGGCTGGTGGGGGCCGGCTGGTGGGGACCGGAGCAGGACTTGAGCCCTGGGCATGCCCGGTGCCTGCAGGCATCCCTGGGGAGCCAGCCACCGGCACCCTGTCTGCACACCCGGCCCAGCGCGCTGCCTGGTGGGGGAGGGTTGCTACCTTGGGATCTGAATGCCGCAGCAGCTCCAGGGAGCCCTGTGCTCCAGGGCTGTGGCTGTGGCGGATCCACGTCCCCAGGGCACAGCAGCCAGCAGAGGCCGGGAGGCCCCTGGGCCCGTCTCCGTGGTTACCTGCTGAGGGTGGGCTCACTGTGAATGTTCTGTTCTTTTCTCTTTCTCTTTCCCAGGCCCTTTAAGGCACAACCCCCAACTCCTGTCTCCTCATCCCCCACCCAGCCCAGCCGGAGGATGAGCCCATTTCGCAGATGGGGAGACCAGGCCTCAGAGAAGCAGCTGCCAATAAATGAGGGGAACCCAGACTGGGGTGGCCTTGGGACGAGCTGTGGGCAGCCGTGTGATCCGGTAGGGCAGACTGGGAGCTGGCCCTGCAGCTGGCTGGCTGCTCTGCCTGTAGGTGCCATCTCCTGTCCACAGCTCGGGACAGTGTGTGTGGGGCCTATGGCCCTTCACCCCAGCATCAGCAGCTGAGAGGTTGAGTTTAAGGTCCCCTGAGGGGCCACATGTCAGTGTGTGGGGTGCTGGGGCAGGGGCTGTCTCCGTGGTGACCCTGGTGTGGGCAGCCAGGCCCCAGCAGTGTGAGTTGGGCAGCTTAGGGCAGCTCAGCATGTGCAGGGCCTTGGGGCTCAGCTCTCACTGTGAGGGGCTTGGGGGAACTTAGGGGGCCACCGCCAGCCCAGCCCTTGCCTCCGGGAGCTTGGAGACAACCTGGGGAGGGCAGAATTCCCGCAGGCGGCAGTATAGGGGGGGGGAGGGAGGGCTGCACCCCACTTTAGGAAGTGTCCACAGATCCCGAGTGCTCTGGCCGCATTATTTTTATTATTATGTTCGTTAAACATATACAAATGTACAACTCAATGAAAGCCCTTATGTTTGTAGTCTTAATCAACTATAAATCTGACGCAAATGCACAGGAGGTTAAGTACATCCCCATAATGCAACCTATACAACCCATAATACTGTCACCATTCGTTGTGCTGAGACCGTGTTGCCTCTTTGCTTCTTGGAATGAACGAACGCACACGACAGGGTTGCTAGACAGCGCAGCCCGGCAGGAGAACTCACTTGTCTTTTCCCCTTCGGAGCCTCCCAGAGAAACATACGAGAGGGAACTCATTAGGGGAACTGGCCCACTTGGTTATGGCAGCTGAGAAGTCCCACAAAGGCCAGCAGCGTGGCACAGTCCAAGGCTGAAGGCTCAAGTGTCTGGGGTCCCCTGGTGCCAGTGCCCGAGTCCAAAGGCCAGAGAACCTGGAGTTCTGATATCCAAGGGCAGGAAAAGAAAATGTCCCAGCTCCGGAAGAGAGAAATCTGAATTCACCCTTCTTCTGCCTTCTAGTTCCAGCCGGTCCCCCGGCCCACTGGACGGTGCCCACGCCGTGCCCTGACTCAGGAAACACCCTCACAGCCACACCTGGGGCAGCCTCGCCAGTGTAACCAAAGCCAGACCACCTTGCAGCGGAAGAGGGCCGGGCCCAGTGCCTACCGAAGCCCCGAGAATAAATAACGCTTTCCTAGCCACTGGGTAGCCCTTAACCCAGGCATGTTGACACCCAGGATCAGCCGCCGCACTCAGGATCCGGGCCAGGGTGCTCCTGGACTGCTCGGGACTGCTCGGCAGGGCTGACGGTGGCAGGGCTGCGTCCCAGCCCTTCCCTGCGGCTCTGGATTCTCATCTTGTTCCAGATTAGGGCAGAACAATGTGGCCACTGATTCATTCTCTCTCTGTCTCTTTCTCTTACCCCGCCAGACTCTGCGTGTCTGTCCCTCCCCACAGCTGCGGCCCTCACTGTCACAGCCTGGCCTTGGCCTGTCTGCCGCAGCGAGCTCGGCCTGCCCTGGGCCAGCATCTGAGGGGCGGCGGCTCCGCCCGCTCCGGGAGCAGCAGCCTCGCTGATCTGAGCTTCAGACGAGAAGAGAAGTGACTCCGCATCTCGTGTGCCCCCCGAGGCCTCTAGCTTTGCGGTGGTTTGCGGGAGGAGAGGCCCTTCCAGCGGGGCGTGGCTGCCGCCAGGACTGCCCCGATCTCAGAGAGACCGACCCAGCTGCAGAGCCTTGAGGTCACCCGTGTCAGCACGGGCCAGAGGTCCTGGGAGTGGGAGCGGCACTGGGCGGCCCCAGCGCTGCCCGCACAGCCTGTGACGTCATGCCGTGGGTGGCATTCCAGAGGGAAGCAGGGTTCACTGGGACTGAGAGCAGAAAGTTGCTGAGAATAAAACCCAGGACAGATTTTATAAGGGGCAGAAATGCTGCCAGGTGACTACAGTGACATCCACAAGGCTTTATTAGCAAATAGCACCCAGACCCCCGAGGTCAAAGAGGAGATCTCTGTGGACCCCTCCCCAAAGCCCCAAGTCCCAGCCCATCGACCAGGGTGGTGCAGCGAGGCGCCCACTCATGGGGGAAGCTGGGGTCGTGCGGCAGGCTCAAGGTCCCTGGGTGACTTGGGGGGCCACCCCCTTCTCTCCTCTTCAGAGCCCACCCTAGAGGCAGTGGCGACCTGTCTCCTAATAGGCCCACCCCTGTCCACAGCATTGGGGGCCCCTGCCCGGGAGACCACACCTGCCCTCAGACTGTGGCCCTACCTTCCAAGACGGGGAGCAGCCGTGAGCTGGGGACCCCAGGGCACCCCTGCAGGCCCCTCAGAGCTGCAGCCATGTCTGCGTGGGGGACGGCGGTGAGCCCCCAGCCAGCACTTGCTTCCTCTGCAGTCTTGGCCTTCCTCGGTGACCCGGCTCTTTCTCTCTTTGCTCCCCTCTGAGCTCAAAACTAAGAATGGTCCCAAGAGAACTGCCCAACATCTGATCATCGCTGTCACATCCCAAGCCACTGGAGCCTTCATCCATCCCCAGCATCTGGGTCGTGGGGCGGTCAGCGCCTCCAGTGGCCACCCCAACATCCGTCGCTCACCCAGGCCACCATGAGGGTGAGGGAGGATCTCGGGGCCTTGGGCAGGGCCTGGGCTGGGCGCCCCAACCTGTGGTTTCCTGGCCGCCCGCCACGTGCACACGCTGCTTGGCTGGCTCGGGATCAGGGCTCCAGGCTGGGCTACACTGATGATAGAAGATTTGGGGCCACATGACAAACCAGCTGTTTAATCAGCCCCGAGTGTCCTCACGCCTCAGCACCAGCATGGTCCTGCGGGCCGCTTTGGGGAGCGGGACCTACGGGCAGGATCTGCCATTGACAGGCTCCAGCCGTGGGGCGCTGGCCACGTGCGGCTGCGTCCAGGGCTCGGACCCTGCCAAGCCCCACGGGCCGGCCTCCTTTGCTTGTGGGGTCCATCTCAGCCGCGTAGCTACGCTGGGCTCTGGCCCTAGGGACGGCTCTGCTGGAGACCTCGGGAGCCCCCGCCCTGGGGCTGGTGGAGGAAGCCTCGGGGCTGCGGGGGGCCCTTGCCGGTGATCGCCTCCTTGCCAAAAAGCACACTTCCCTCGTAGCACAGAGGACCCTGCCATGGTGCTTCCCCAAAGTCGTGTTGCTTTTATCGGTTTTCTAACTTAATAAACAGAGTTGACAAAATTCTTTGCCTGCCTTGTGCGCTGGGACGAGTCTTAGGGGCGCAGGGGTGGGCAGGCTTGGGTTTGCGCGCTGGCGTGAGCCCTGTGTGCACTGGGAGGGGCCGCCCCCAGTGAGCGCTGCCTGCTCCTCGTGTCACCTTGGCAGCAGCCTCCACGCTGACGGGTTCTGGAACCCTGATCCCGTCCCCCGCCCCTCCCGCCCTTCTGAGAGCCGTCTTTCCTGAAAACCCCCGTGGTGCTGGATTCGCATTGAAAGTGTCACACAGAGCCCCTCGAACGGGTCACCCACGCCCCTAGGATGGGTGCGATTGCCCAGCAGGTGGCCCTCGTGGTCACGGCACCCCTCACGGCGTGGTTGCCCCAGTCAGTTACACGCCCCCGGTTCACCTGCCCTTGCCACCCTCCTGGCGGGTATGAACCGAACTCACAGACGCCCGCAGGTAAAACACACAGTGTTCAGTGTTTTGAGGTCTCACCTTAGACGGTGGGCAGGTGGAGGCAGTGACGCCGGGGTGAGGTCCAGGGTGTGAGATGGTCTCGCTATAACCCGGGACCCCTGGGCGCCCCAAGTCTCCGTGGTGACTGCACGGTGGCCCTTGTGGCATTGGTGCTCCGCAGGGTGCAGCCCGCAAAATCCACACGGGGCTTTCGCAGTGCGAAGAAACACTTCACGTGCCCAGGTGGGGCTGTCACAGCACTTGGAAGGTCACATGGTCATCGTCCTGTGTCAGTGGTTCTGGTAGAAGGCCCAAAAGCAGAAAGGTCCTCGTCCTTCCACCAAACTGGAGGCACAGCCTGGGAGGACGTCCGGCCTGCCCCTCCCACGGTCCACGCCTGCTCCTCCGGTGTCGGGAATAACAAAGGTGACCACTGCCGCCTGGGCTCTGCGCCCTGGGCGTCACAGACTGCTGTGGACACAGCCCAGGCAGCAAGGAGAGGTGGCTCCCAGCCGCACAGTCCCAGCGCGAGTGTGAGCAGGCCCGGGCTCCTCCCGCCGTGTTGCCTGGCCATCGTCCTCGTGGGGCTGCTGTTTCCTGTCTCCGTTCCAGCCAGCGGGAGCGGGAGCTGGGGACGTGCAGGGCGAGCCCCTGAGGGCGTGGCCCAGGCGTTGCACACCTAACTTCCTCCTGGGCTGAACTGAGTCACATCCACACCTGGCTGCGAGGGAGGCTGGGAAGTGCCAGCTCAAACTCCGGGCCCCTGATGCTGAATAAACAAAGGGCGGATGGGTATCAGGCAGGTAGCAGCCTCTTCATCTGCACGCCTGGCTGGGAGTTGCGACGAGCCTGCACACACCGCCCTGCCTCCCCCGCCCGGGGAGCGAGCAGAGCCACAGTCACGCCAAGAGCCGGCTCTGTGCACAGCGTCTGTGGGGCCCCAGCTGGGTGCCTCCCGCTGGCCAGCGCTTTGCACAGTTGGCTCTGCAGACCTTGCAGTGACCCTGGGAGGTGGACATTCTTCTTGCTGGTGAGCAAGCAGGCCCAGAGGTCAAAGTAACATGCCCCAGGGCTCACACGAGGAGGAGGAGAAAGCAACATGTTGCAATCGACAGAGTGAGGACTCCGAGCTAGGCCTGCGGGTTTGGGGCTGAGCTCTCTCCTGTATGTACGAGCTTTGCTAAATCACTCCATTCTCATGCAGGCTTAACCATGGCAGGGCTAACAGAAGGAGCCGAGAAGGAGCCGAGTTCTGCAAAGCACTGAGCACACGCTGGTGCTGGGATAGCCCTGTGCAGTGGGAGTGGTCGCCACGCTGCAGCGGTGGAGCTGGGATTGAGAACAACCCATATGCGCTATGTGGGGGGAGACGTAGCCCCAGCCATTGCCCTGCGGGCCTGGCTCCACGTCCCCTGCCTCCCAGGGGCCAGACTGAGTGTGGGATGGGGCTTTGGAAGGGAGACGGCGCCTTCCACCTCAGTGATGGGCGAGGTCTCCCTGGGCACCTGAGTCACAAGAGGGCCAAGAGAGCATTCCTGGGTTGTGGCACCAATTTGGGAAAGAGATCAGGCCATGGTTGGGGAGCGTTGGGGGGGGTCAGCCTCCTGTGCACCTGCTGGGGGCAGGACGTGGGTGTTGCCTTTCTCGGGTGAGGAGGGGGTGGCCGTCTGCTGCCCAGCCAGGTCCTGCCTTCACAGGACCCTTCCCTGGCCCAGGAGCTGGCGGGAGGGCGAGTCCAGACTCATCCCCCCCAACAGCATGTGGCAACCACCCCTTGCTCAAGACCCAAACCTGTAAAGCACGATGGGGAAGAGGGAACGGTTTAGGAAGCAGTCGTCTGGCGAGTGCAACTTGGAAAGAGCCTTAGTTCTTCTGGGTCGTGCCTGGTGGGTGTTTGGCACAGTAAGGAACACCCACACTCCACCCACCGCGTCCTGGCCCCGCCCCATGGCTCCACCCCGCCTCTCACCTTCAGGAGCTGGGAATGTTCTGCTAGCTGCAGGTGACCTGGGAGGTGGGCGGCCTCTGGCTGCCCTCCTGCCTCTGGCCCCGCCCCGCCTGACCTCCAGCTTAAGGCCAAGCCCAGGGAGCCACAGGCGTGCACAGTGCCGCCCTTGATGCCATGAATATGGTTTTTAAAAAAATGTATGAGGCCGGGCGCGGTGGCTCACACCTGTAATCCTAGCACTCTGGGAGGCCGAGGCGGGCAGATTGCTCAAGGTCAGGAGTTCGAAACCAGCCTGAGCAAGAACGAGACCCTGTCTCTACTATAACTAGAAAGAAACTAATTGGCCAACTAATATATATAGAAAAAATTAGCGGGGCATGGTGGCGCATGCCTGTAGTCCCAGCTACTTGGGAGGCTGAGGCTGCAGGATCGCTTGAGCCCAGGAGTTTGAGGTTGCTGTGAGTTAGGCTGACGCCACGGCACTCACACTCTAGCCTGGGCAACAAAGCAAGACTCTGTCTCAAAAACAAAAAATATGCGATAGGTGTTATGGGTTGACTTGTATTCTCCCCAAAAATGTTCAAATCCTAAACCCTAGTAGCTCAGGATGTGACCTTATTTGGAAACTTTTCATAATGCATTAAGACGAGGTCATACTGGTGTAGGGTGGGGCCTAATCCAGCAGGAGGGTGTCCTTGCATAAGAGGGAAATTCGGACACAGATGTGCACGCAGGGAACATGTCACATGGAGATCGGAGTTGTGTTGCCACCAGCCAGGGAGCCCCAGCAGCAGGAGGAATCTGCAGAGGAAACTCGGGCCTGCGGCACCTGGTCTTGGGCTTCAGCCTCCAGGTCAGTGAGGGAAGAAATTTGTTGTTTAACCCACTCGGTGTGGCACTTTGTTATTAGAGTAGGTTTCCCTTGTATTGTTGCATTCCACGGCCAGCAGCCAGCGTTGCACAGTGCACAGGGAAGGTTAGAGGCCCTGCCTGCGGGCCAGCTGGAGGGCGTCAGTCTGTAGGAGACTTGGGGGGCTGCCCAGACAGGATGCCTGGGGGTCTCACTTCAGTAAAGACCTCCCTCCCCAGGGGGTCTCACCTTCCTGGGGTCTGATCGAGGAGAAAGCAGGTGTGCGCAGCTGAGATGGGAGGTCCGTGCTGGGGACTCAGCAGAGTGGGGTTAGGGTCTCCCCAGGGAGGTTCCTGGCCGTGGTCCTGCTCCCCTTCCCCTGCTGGCGCTGCACACTCCAGCGATAGCAACCAGACTCGTCCACGTGCCCAGGTGCGACACACCGCTTTGGCTCAGGCCTGGCCTGCGAGAGCCACATTCCCATCCTCCCTGTCCGCCCACATGAGGCCCATGCAAGCTCCGCGAGCCACCCAGCAGGCCGTGGACACTGGGGGAGGCGGGTGATGGCTGCAGAGAGCTGCCCCTGGGCAGCAAATGCTTGCCGAGCCAGTTAGGAGCCTGAATGGCCAGAGCGCCTTTGTGCTGGGGATCCGCAGGGGCCGGGAGCCCATCCCCCAGCTCTGCAATTTGAGCAAGCAGAGCACAGCCGTGGCAGGAGCAGGGGCAGCAGGGCTGCAGCCATCCCATGGCTTTCTGTCCTTGCTTACGCACTGCCACCTGGCGCCAGGTGCTCCTTCACACCAGGACCTCCCGGCCACCTTTGTGAAAAAAATGATCATAAAAAGTGTAAACAGAGGAGGTGGTGGAGAAGGGGACCTGAGTACAGGGCACATCCATCTGATGACAGAGCACGCTCACGCTCTGGGACAACCCTCGGCGATGCAGACGGTCCCGTGTTCAGCTTTTGTGTGTGTGTCCCGTACAGACGTGGGCGGGCAGCACTCGCCCTGGGCAGAGCCTCCCTGACTAGCTGGGTGGCCCTGGATAAGGTTCATACACTCCTTGGGCTTCAGCTGCCACAGCTGTGGAAGGGGGACATTCCCAGTGACCGTCTCACTAGAATTGAATGAGTTTAGGACACAAAGTCCTATAAACGGTGCCTGGCACTCAGGGAGCGCTCACCGGCCACCATGCGCTGCTGTAATTACTGTGTGGTCAGCCTGGTGACCTTTCACTGTGCCACCACCCCCATGCCCGGCTCGGCCCCTCCACTGTCTGTAACCAGGGGCCGAGTCCTGCTCTGGGCTTGCATGTTGGCGGCTGTGAGTTGCACCACCATGAACATCTCTGTACAAGCCACTTTTCCTTCTTGTGTCACTGCTTTGGGCTGTATTTTACCCCAAAGTGGTTTTGAGGTCAAAGTGCAGTGCAGTTTAACAGAAAAGACATGGGCTTTGAGGCCAAAGGGCAGGGTGTTTACAGAGGAGACTCTGGCTTTGGAGCCAAGCAGATCTAGATCCAAATCGGTCACCAGCTGTTTCCAGCTCCCTGGCTTTGGGCAAGGTTTGGTGTGTGAAACTCAGTTTCCCTGTCTGTAAAAAATGGGGGCAAGCCACCTGCTTGGGAGGATTGTTGAGGGGCTTAAATAAGAAAAGGTGTATTTCTTTCTTTCCTTAAAAAGCAGATTGGGTTTAGGGCTTCCCCCTGCTGCCCTCTGACCCGCGGAGGCCTGGGTTGGAGGCCAGGGTTGCCTTCGGAAAGCTGAG